ACACCCCCAGCAACCCCCCAAAAAAATTCTGGAGGGGCTTTTTGGGGACAGCCAGGCTCCTCCAGAGCTTCCCACTCCCTTCATGGAGCAGCGCCGGCCAAATCCAGGACTCGGAGGAGACTCACCAGGAGACCAAATTGCTCTTGGAGGGTGTTGGGTTTTGTTTCCCAACTTGCTCTGAATGAGGAATGAGGCTGGGGATTTTGTGGGCTGAAGCAGACGGGGAAAAGCAGCAGAACTCAAACAAACATGGGATTTGGAAGGAGTGGTTCCCCCAGCTCTGGTGTTTACACCCCTGTAGCAGCAGCTGCTGCTGACACCTCTCTGTGTGGAAAGGAGCAGGTAGACACGCTCGTTATTTTCCATAAGAAATCGCATTAAAGAGCAAATGTTTCTATTTCTTGAAGCATGGGGACCCTTCACACTCCCCCAAAGAGCCAGGAATTTCTCCAGCTTTTATTGGAAAAGCAACAGCCAGAGGAAATGTTCTCGCAGGTCAAAAGCCACTTTTCTTGCTGGAAAGACACAAAGTCTTTGCACGGAAAATTGGATTTTTTAGGTCCACAAAGAAGCACTGCTAAGGATGAGTCTGTTCCCTGCATCTGCTGCCAAAACATGGAAAATTAATGATGCTCCCAGCTGTGATGAGCCCAATGTCCCTGCGCCTGGATCTTCCCTGAGAGCACCTGGGTGAGCAAACCCAGCCAAGCCTGAGCCCTCCCGAGGCAGCAGCGAGTCCCAGGGAAAGCAGAGCCCAGGGAAGCAGCGTTTGTGTGGGGGGAGCAGAGGGAGGCAGCTCCTGACAGCAGAAAAACAAGGTGATGGATGGCTCCTCCGGCAGTGCCAGCCCTGGAATCCCTCCCCAGGAGTTCGTGGCACATCTCTGGGCTCTGCTTTGCTGCTGCTGGTTTGGGCTTGGATCAGGGGTCAGGACTCACAGCATCACCCTCACACACACCCGGGGGTGCTGAGACAGGAGCTACACCTGGAAGAGGCTCCAGAGCACTAACTCTGCAAATGTGGGGCTTGTCCCTTTTTTGTGGTTTTCTTTTCCCAGCCTCAGCAGCCAGCAGGGATTCTTCCACCCCTCAGTGTCTCCTCCAGCTGTGAAGCAGAGGCAGGTCCAGGGGACAGAGGGACAGAGGGACAGAGGGACCTGCCTAAACCTGTTGCTGACTCCAGCAAAGCTCTCCCCTCCCCGCAGTGGAAGCAGGAACAGAAGCAGGCCTGAGGAGAAGAGCAATTTCCTTATTTACGTCCTGGCACGGATCCACACAGCGAGCGAGGAGGGAAGCGAGCCCAGCCCTGAGCTGGGGGGAGCTGGGAGTTTCCCACCCACAGCAGCTGATGCAAAGACCACCCTGCTCCCCACAACACTCCCGAAAATCTCACCCTTCCCTCCCCTCGCTCTTGTCCCGGGGTGTGCTGAGGTTCCTGGGGGGCTCACGTGTTTCCCCACTGCCCTGAGCGTGGGAAACAGCCGTGCTGAGATCCCAAAGCTGGGGGCAGCCCCCAGCACCCGAACAGCACCAGTTTGGCAGGAATTGTGATGGGGTTGGGGTTTGCTGGGAGCTGCCAGCCAGGCAGGGCCCTGCTGATGGGGTTTATGGGATGGGCTTTGCCTCTTGCTCCAAACCCTGGATAGAAAAGGGTGCAAACAGGCATAGAAATATCAAAAATCCCACTGCTCACTCTGGTTAAGTCTCAGCCATCGTATCTTGGGTCAGAACTTCGTAAAGATGTTTGATTTCCCCAGGGACCCTCTGCAATGGAAGCCCAGGGCAAACCTGCCCCAAGCCCAGCACTTCATTCTCTGCATCAATTCATCCCAGGCCACACTCACACCTGGGAAGGAGCTCAAGACTCAGCCCCTCAAGGCTGCTTTGGTTTCCCACCTCACCCAGGTGCCACAACAGAGTGAAGCCACAACTGGACAAGGGGGTTGTGCTCTGCCAACTGCTCCAGCTGATAAACAGAGCTGGTGTCCCAGTACTCGCCCTGGGGCTGCCAGAGTCACTGGGATTGCTTTAGCAGGGCTTGCTGCTAAGAAAAGAGCACTGGGTGACCCTGGGGGCTCCTCCCGGGGTGGCACTGCCCGTTCCCTGCAGGCTCTGAGTGCTGGCACAGGCTGGGAGCCGGGGCAGAGGGGATGGGGTGAACAGGGAGGCAGCAAAGCCCAGGAATGTGCTGTTGTTGGTGACAGAGGCCTGGCACGCAGCTCAAATGTGGGCTGGTCCTCGGTCCCCCCCAGCCAGGCAGCTCCAGGGGATGCTCCCGTGAGCGTTCCCAGCTTGATCCCATCCCGCATGCTCAGGCCATGTGGGAGTCATGGCCCTGTGCTGACACCAGCAGTGAAAGTCAGCTGCACGATGCTCTGCAGAGCCAGAAACTGCTGCTGTGCCGTGTTAATGTGCTGGGAAAGGAGGTGGGGGTTTTTAAGACACACAGATGTGGGGACATGGGTTAGTGGCCACGTGTCAGGGGAAGGTTGGACTCGTAGAGCTCTCTTCCAACCCAATGATTCCACGGTTCCACCCTAACCAGTCTCACTGGCTGGATCACCCCGCCTCCATATCCCCCCACCCAAGCACAGACAGGGCTTGTGTGCCAAGGCAGCCCCAAGGAAGGTGTCTGACCCAGCAGGACACATTTTGGGAACTGCTGAGCAGGACCCCAGTGCTGAGGGGAGATAAAGGCTCTGAAGCCATCCCTGGCAGCCAGGGAGCAGAGCAATACCACTGGAGCAGGCACAGGAACACGAAACACATTCCACAGAGGAATCCACAGCAACCCAGCTCAATCTGCTCCCGGCTCGGGTCCAAGGGCAGAGCAGCTCTTCTCTCTGAGCTGCCCCAACAAGACCAGCCTGGAGTCGGGGTTAAACCACGACCGATGCTGAGATCTGCAGCTTATTCCCAAACCAGCTCCTCTCCTGATTTCCACAGCTTGTACAGACACCAGTACCTGTCCCGGCATCTGACAGATGGCCATCAGAGAGTCGGGCTCAGAACCAAGCTCATCTCAATTTGCAGAGCTGCCAACATCCCAGTACCAGAACAAACAGCCTCAGCAGGAGATAAATCAAGACCAAGGGAAGAGGCGCCTCTGCGGCTCCCAAAGGATTTTGGCTGGAGGCTTCTTCACCCCTGGTCACCCCTGGTCACCCCTGGTCATCTCTGGTCACCCCTGACCATGCTGGAGCACTGCACTAGGCCAGCCCTGACCCCCAGGACAGCCTCCCACCCGCCCGTCCCACAGCCCCGGCAGGACACAGGTACTGAGGTTCCCCCTTGCCAAAAGGTCTCAGCATCACTGGAGCCCCTCTGGCAGCAGATCCAGCTTTCTCCAGGTGCAACATCATTCCAGCAACACGGGGATGAGTGACCTGTGCACACCTTCCATTTTAAAGTGTAAAAGGCACTCTGAAATTTGCAGGGAAGACACCAGAGCACCCCAAGAACGATCACCACAGTGCCTTTCAAAGAGCTGCTGCTGCCACCACACAAGGACAGAAATCTCCTCGTCTCCTGTGATCCAGTGATGGATTTGGGAGTGAGTGAAAGCAGCTCTGCATCCTCAGCTCTCAGAGCTGCTCCACTTCTGGCTTCAGTGGGACCAGATTCAAATGCTTCAGCTGAAGCCTGGCTTCACATTATCTGAGGAGGAAAATCAGCTCTGGCTTTCATCTGTCTCCTCCATCCCTCCAGTTCAGAATTCCCTCTCCCAGTCTGGAGTGGGACTAAACCTCTCTCCATTCTCCACATTAACAGGCATTAAGGAAAGAGACCAACTTCACTGGAAAAGTCACTTCCAGGTAAAAAAAATCAGGTATTTCAAGCAGAAGTTTGATGGTACTCCAAGGATGAGCAAAGCTTTTCCTCTTTGTCCTCTTTCTGAGGTTAAGCAGCAATGCCAAAGGGAATCCTTGATCTCCCAGGAGGAAACAACCAACTTGCTTCTACTACTGATAAATGTGATTGCACCCAAACACCTCCCTGCACCCCATCCAGTCTGTGCCATCCCAAGCCGTTCCAGAAGGAACAAACCCTTGAGGCTCTCCAGAGCACCAACAGGACCTGGGGAGGGGCTCAGGGATGCAGCACATCATCCCTGCTCCTGCCTGGTCCCAGCTCCTGCCAGCAACGGGCAGCACTTGGTACCAGGGAGGTAGAAGTAGGTCAGCTCTGCAGCTACAGCATCCCACGCCACCCTGGACACACAGACACTGCACAACTGGCAGACTGAGCTGTGCCCTAAGAGTTATCCCAGCAATCCAGGGTGCAGCTGGATTTTGGGGCACTGGATTTACCCTCTCTGGAGCTGGAGTTCTGGGAGATGGGCAGAGGAGCAGAGAAGTCTGGGACCAGGTTGAGGAAGATTTTGTTTTGTCATGGGAAGAAGAGCTTTGTGTTTTCCTGACTCATCTCCCCCTCAGTTTCCCATGGAAAGCCTCAACACTTAGCACGGCTCCTGTTCCAAACCCAGAGGAGCCTTTCTGGCAGCCCGGAGCTGCTGGCAAGGCAGCACTCGACACGTCGCAGCTCCCCACGCTCAAACCCGCTGAGAGCCACCGCAGGGAGAGGAGGGGAAAAGCCTCTGGGGTTTTTTCCCTACTGAAAACCTTTGGCCACCTTCAGTCACAACCTCACCGTGTCCCCAGGAGAGATGTCCCACTCACACCATCCAGAGGAGTGGTTGAAACCCGGGGAGAAGAGCTGCAGGGGCAGAGGTTGGAGCAGTCTGCCCCCAGGGAGGGCACGGGCTCACAGACCCGAAATGGGGATGACAGGGGAGGAGAAAACAAAATGTGGGGCCAGCACGGAGAGGTGTGTTGGGTGGAGGTGAAGCAGATGGAGAGGCAGGAAGACGTGGATTTGGGGAGCACAGGACAGCCAGGCAGGCGGATGGAGATGAACCAGTCTGGGATCAGCCCAACGAAGCCGCACTCAGCCTCCACCTCTCCCTCCCCAGCCAGGTCCTGCTCACACCTCCAGCCCTACCTTTCTGGATGCCTCCATCTGCTGCACAGGAGAAGTCCCCCGTGGCCAGCAGGAAGCACGTGGAGGATTTCTTGTTCTTGTCCCGTGTGCTGGAGCGCCGCATCGGCCTCTTCTCCTCGTCCGTCGGGGACAGCGGCTGCTCCTCATCCGACAGCACCACGTTGGCCTCACCGTTCTGCTTGGAGTCTGCAAGGAGGAGGCAGAGACCCATCAGCAGCTGACAAACCCGCAGGAGAAAGTGCTCAGGGTGGCCAGGAGGGGCAGGTCAGACCGTGCAAGGAAGCAGAAGAGATGGCTCAGAGCAACACCCACCAATTCAGGTGCTGCTCCCAGCCTGGACACGCTCATGTAGAGCAGCCAGGGGAGCAGGACAAAGACAGATAGAATTCCAAGCAGCTCTAGTCCTGCTGAGGGTTATAAAACCTGCATGAAGCCAAAGCTGGGGATGGAACACCCCAGGTTTGTGAGATCCACCCACCTAATTGGAGGGAATTAGCTCTCCAAAATTCACACTGCCGAGGAACGGGCTGCTCGGGGTAGTGGGAAGTGCTAATTTATGTCCCCTGGCTCCCTGGTTCGCTGGCTGAGAGGATGCTCTGCCACGTGAGGGCCTGGCCTGAGCTCCTGGCTCTAACAGCTCCCTGCTGCCGGGCTCCTGGGGCAGATGGGATTCGCAGGCATGTGGGAAAAGGAGATTTATAAAGGGAAAGAAGTGTTTGGGGCACCTGAAGCTCTGTGTTTCTCTGGTAGGGGAAGCCCCATCACTGTTACACACCTCAGTGTTGGTGCAGGACACAACCCCACCATGGTGCCTCCTGTTCCAGACACCCTGAGGTGCCGCTGGCAGCAAACCAAGACAAAAGGGGCAGAGCAGCCACCATGGCCAGCACTGACAGCGGGGCAGGGCTCGCACAGACCCCAGAGTTAGCCCAAGGGATGGTCCCCACAGCTGGGGCCGTGCCTTCTGCTGATCCTAAGGAAAGACTGGCCATCCCCCAAACTTCAGCTCAGGGCATGAGACCAAAACAAGAGAAGTGTCCAGGAACTGGTTTTGCTCAGGGTTTGGAGCAGCAGCTCAGGGATTCTGCCTACCAGCAGATGAATGAGGTGGGGTCAAGCCCCAGGGGAAGTCCATGGATTTATCAATTTTGGTGAAGGTTACCCTGATTTATGGTGGGAGGAAGCAAAGGAAAAATCTGTGCCAAGGGCATGACCAGGCTAACATGAGAGCAGGGCGAGTGGCCTTACCTCTGCCACTGTGAGGGAGAGGTGGCATAGGCAGGGACACCCTGAAAGCCACCATGGTGACTTGATCTGTGCCATTAGGAGGGAAGGATATGGCTTTTGGGAAAGCAGGTGGCCTTTTTCCCCTGCCTGGATGGGGGATTTGACCTGCAGTGCCCTGCTCCACCAACATGACCCCCAACACCCCCCAGCCGAGGGGCCCAGCCCTTTCTGCACCCACCCAGAGCTGCGGGCCACATCCTGCACCATCCCCAAGGACTCAGGGACACCAAGACCAAACAAATTGCCCTGAGGGCTCCCGGAGGTCTCCCCCTCCCTCGGCCCCACCTTTGGGGTCTCACCTGACCGTTTCCGCTCAGTCGCCCCCTCCTCTACTGCCAAGGGACAAGTGTCGCTCTGGGTGCTGTTCCGGGGCGAGTTCTCCTCGGATTTGCCGTAGGTGGGGGAGTCCAGCGGGGCCGGACGGGGTATATGCTTTTTCTTCTTCTTTGGCAGCTTCTGCTTGGCCATGGCCAATGAATAGTACATCCCAAAGTTATTGACGATGACGGGCACGGGCATGGCGATGGTCAGCACCCCGGCCAGGGCGCACAGGGCCCCCACCACCATCCCCGACCAGGTCTTGGGGTACATGTCACCATAGCCCAGGGTCGTCATCGTGACCACGGCCCACCAGAAGCCGATGGGGATGTTCTTAAAGTGAGTGTGGTCGCTCCCGGTGGGGTCGGACGTCTTGGCTCCAATCCGCTCGGCGTAGTAGATCATGGTGGCGAAAATCAAGACCCCCAAGGCGAGGAAGATGATGAGGAGCAGGAATTCATTGGTGCTGGCCCGGAGCGTGTGGCCCAGCACCCGGAGACCCACAAAGTGCCGCGTCAGCTTGAAGATCCGCAGGATGCGGACGAAGCGCACCACCCGCAGGAAGCCCAGCACGTCCCGGGCGGCTTTGGAGGACAGGCCACTGAGACCCACCTCCAGGTAGAAGGGCAAGATGGCCACGAAGTCAATGATGTTGAGCAGGTTTTTAATGAAGAGAAGCTTATCTGGGCAGCAGATGATGCGAACCAGGAACTCGAGGGTAAACCACAGCACGCAGACCCCTTCGATGTAGGTGAGGATGGGCTCCGTCTCCACTTTGTGGGTCAGCAGCACCGTCGTGGTGTTGCCAACCACCAGCGTCTCCGTCACGTTGACGTCGATGTTGAAGGCCTCGTGTGTCTCCAGGCAGAAGGTCGTGATGGAGACCAGGATGAAGAAAAGTGAGGCGAAAGCAACCACCTGTGAAAGTCAAAGTTACACGGGCCGTGAGCTGATGTGGGGCAACCTCTTCTGTTTGGAGGAGGTCAAAACACTCCAGAGACTGCCACCCACTGCCCCAAGAACAAGGGTGGAGAATGAGGAGGGATCCTTGGACCTCTCCCATGAGTTGGCAGCTGTTGGAACTCAAAATGTCCCTCAGACATTTTTGGATGTTCCAGGCCCAGGTCAGAAGCATTTGAGACCCTGGCAGGCAGCTGGAAACAGCTGTGATTTTGGGTTTGAGCCATGGAATGAGTTACCAACCTTGCAGGGAGAACAAGAAGTCACAAAAGTTTAGATATAGAAGTAGTCACAAAGTAAAGGGAAGAATTTTTGAGTGCTGTACAGGGGGGTTTTGGTTTTGTACATGGGGGTCAGAGGGTTTAAGATGGAGGGATTTGGGCCTGCCCTGTCCTCCCTCTTTCTCCTTCCTTCCCTCCATGTTCTTGGTGATGTTGGCACTCACAGATTGGTTTAGAGTAGAAAAGCACCATTTAATATAGGTAATAGGCATTGGGGAAAAACTGTACCCATGTAACACGTAATGTACCATATAAAAGATAGAAAAGCACCATTTAATATAGGTAATAGGCATTGGGGAAAAACTGTACCCATGTAACACATAATGTACCATATAAAAGATAGAAAAGCACCATTTAATATAGGTAATAGGCATTGGGGAAAAACTGTACCCATGTAACACGTAATGTACCATATAAAAGATAGAAAAGCACCATTTAATATAGGTAATAGGCATTGGGGAAAAACTGTACCCATGTAACACGTAATGTACCATATAAAAGACAGCAGCAGCCCTGGGCGGGGAGAGAAGAAGCAGTCGGGAGTCAGAGAGGATGTCAGGGTGTGTGTGTGCCTCTGCCTGAGCTGTGAGCAAACCACAGCAGCCCCAGGAGAAAATCTTTTAGATAACTTGCAATAAACTGCCTTGAGACCGAACAATAGAGACTGCTGAGCCTTTCTTTGGAAGCATGGCTTGGAGGGGAGATTTTTCCACCACACGGAGCCCCTGAACCAGGCCGGGGTTCCGACAGGCAGCAAACCGAGTGTCTGGGGCCATCAGTCCAGGGTCTTTCTCCAGGTGCCATGATCTGTACAGGAGAAGGTGTTCTGGGCTCCAGCTGTGCCTGGAGATGTGCCAGGAATGGCAGTCGTGGGGATGAGGGGGAACTGGGACAGTCTGGGACTGGAGCAACCTTCCAATGGGAACAGACATGAGAAGGGAATTTTGACAGGACAAATTCAAAGAGTTTTCCCCCACATTCCTCACAAACCCCTCCAGACACCAGGTTCACACTGCTCACAGCCATGAATTTTGGGGTCTGGATGTGTCAGAGACATCCTTTCACCCCCTCCCCGAGAGTCCGTGGTGGGCCATGTGCCCATGGAAGGTCCAGGACTGCCAGGGCAGGATGAGGAGAGGAGCAGGCAGAGCTCAGCCTCCTGCTGCTGCCTGGGCCTGGTGACCCCCAGATGTTCCCATTTCTCTGTCCTGCCCAAGCAGGGAGACCATTGTCCCCTCCATGTCACCTGCTCCTCACCTTGGATGTGAGCAAGGAGGGGCCAGCAGCACAGGCTGTGTCACAAAGTTCCACCCTGTGCTCCCTTCAGTCCTGCTCAGCTCCCTCCCTCCCTCAAGGTGAGCCCATTGCCTGGAGCATCTCTTTCCAAAAGCCACCCCCCTCCAAAAAAAAGCTTCAGAGCAGAAAAACTCTGGTTGTACCTCCCTCCAGCACAACAGCACGGTGGTCTCTGTGGCAGGCACATTCTCTCTCTCAGGATTTTTCATAGAGGCGCACAGAGAGAAGAAAGAGAAAACAATTTCTATTTCTGCTCCTTGTTTTTCCCATCTGGAATGTGTTTGGAAATTTGTTCACCTGGGGTGAGTGCTTGGTTGGATTCTGGTGAGGATTGTTTGAGCCTGGTGGCCAATCCAACCCACCTGGGGCTGGGCTCTCAGAGAGGGTCATGAGTTGTGAGTTAGATATGGTAGTTAGAAAAAGTAGGTTTGTAGTTTTAGTATCTCCTTTAAATAGTGTATTATAGTATAGTTATAGTAAAGAAATCATTCAGCCTTCTGAACTGGGGTCAGACATCAGCATTTCTGCCCACCGGGTTCACCTGCATGTGCAGTAGTGGTTTCAGCTCAGGGGAGCAGGTCCTGCTGCAGCCCCTCTGCTGCCCCTGCACCGAGCAGGGGGGGACTTTCGCTGTCCAAGCCACCCAAGCGAGCTCCAGGCGACAGCCAGCGGGATCTGGGCTGGAGTGAATCAGCAGCAGACACAGCCTGAGTCACGCCGGAGGAGCAGCCGACCCCCGACACCGCCACCCTGCCCTGCCCTGCCAGGAGCATCCTTGGGGGCTGTCCCCAAGGGCAGACCCGCGTGGTTCCGCCACACAGAGCACCAGCCCTGCAGGAGGCTGGGGGGAAGTTTAAATTGGGCATTAAATGATGGAGAAACCTCTGGAAGATGTTTCTCCTGCCCCAGACACCTGCGTGGGGAGGGAGTGAGATGCTCCTCACCCCTCAGTCAGACCCCTTTGGACTGGCACTGAAGGCTGACCGGTCGTGTGCAATTTGGGAAACAAATCCAACAAAATTGGGATCTTAAAGCAAGGCCAGCTTAACCAGGCAAGTGTCTCTACACAACGGTGGCACAGCCAAAATAATCCACTTTTCAGCTGAGGGCTGAGTCACGTTCCTGAGCTTCCCTGTATGGGGAATCTTGGGAAAACCTGAAGAGTAAAAATTTAGACTTAAAGCAAAATAGAAAGAAAAAAATCACCCAGGAAGGGAGTGAGACCATGCAAACACTTGAGTAATGAAGCAGCCCTGCTGCTGGGTGTGAGGTGAGACCTGATTTAGCCCAAGGAGCACAATCAGCCTTTAAAAATAGAAGTTGGGTTCACAGCCGGTGCCAACCACCGTGTCCCCCCAGGGTGCTGCTCCAGTTCTGTGTCTGACCCAACGTGTCTCACCTCAGCTTCAGCCTCTGCTCCAAACTCAACTTCTTTTCCAAAACTGTCTTTAAAACAAAATAAACTCTATGTATAAACCCAGTGCTACCAATACACACCAGAACTCCCACCAAACAAGTCCTCCAGAACCTGCTGGTGTTCCACTCAATATTCACCTGCACTCAACAGCTTGACATAGGTGTTGCCAAAAAATCCATGACCCTACAGAGCGTCACTAGCCTGAAAGTCCCCATGAAAGTGAGGTCAGGACTCCCCAGGTTGGGCTGCAAAAGGAAAAAATAATGAGGAGCTGCACGTAAGGAGAGTTTGGATGTAGAGGTAAAATCCCAGCCAGGGCAGTTTCCCATGGGGAGGAGAAGTGTAAAGCTCCAGCTGGGACAGCAGTTGCACCGGGCACCAAACATTCCCTGAGTGGGCTGAGTGAGGAGCCAGGAGCCCCGTGGCCATCAATGGTGCATGGAGAAAAGGTCAAAACATGGGAGAGATTTCTAAGCAGGCGCTCACACAGCTGCCAGCTCAGGAGAAGTGCTGGAGGGAGGGAAAGATGGAAATAACGAGGAGCCAACTGAGTCAGGGCCCGAGGGGCTGCTCCGTGCAGAGGAGGAGCGACGACCGACCAGAGAAATTCAGCTCTTGAGACTCTCAGGCACAGAGAGGGAGAGAGTTTGCATGGACAGCCTGGGGCTGCTGCTCCCCAAGGTTTGGCAACAGGCTGTGCAGCTGCCCCAGCACATTCCCTGCAGCCAGCAGCACCCCTGTGGCGCTGGCAAGAGAGGGGAGACCCCAAAATGGGGTATAAAAAATCCCAACCGCTGCAAACCTCACCCATCACAAAAGCCAGGGCAGCACCAGGAATGTTGTACCCACAGGAATCCTGCAGCATCCTGGTGCTGGATGGTGACTCCAGCCAGGAACTGGAGCTTGGGCTGGTTACATTGCTCTGTGCCTCGGTTTCCCCTCTTGCCAGAGCAGTTCTCCTAAGCTATGGCAAAACTATACTGGTATTTTTTCCTGTTGTCTCTGGAAGTTGATCGTTCCCATGGCACTGCTGAGCTGAACATTTCTCCAGAGCAGTGAGAAGGAAGCAGGGAGATCCCAGCACAAACTGGTCCCACTCCAGCCTCAGCTGGGCCTCAATCACCACCATCTCTGCTCCCTCCAATACATTCCTCCTGCCAGAGCCTTTCCAGGATCAGCTCAGCACACAGGAAAAGCAGAACCAAATGACACCGGGGGGGAAAAATGAGTTGAATTATTGTGCTTGGGTTTATTTTTAATTTTGTTTAATTTTTTATTTGGAGCTTTACACCACTCAGAACATCTCTCCAAGGCGAGGAGCCCTCAGGGACAGACAGAGGGGGGGGTACCCTCTTAAAATGCGTTCAGCCCTTGCTGCCCGAGCATTCTCTGCATGTGTGTGTTGCTCTAACATTTGCTGCAAAAACACCTCCTTGCCAAACTGACCCCTGCCCCGCGTGCTGCTCGTGGGTGTGAAATGCCTGCAGAATTTCTTACCATTGATGGGGTTTTTTTACACCTCTAAATGCATCCAGGATTCATCTCCATCCCAACTGCCTGCCTGGGTGTGTGTGGCAGATTTATAAGCTGGGCGTGCCAGGGGCTGGGTGGGTACAGGTGGGTATCGGGGGGTCAGGGCAGCACTTTGGGGATGGTCTACAAGGAGATCATGCTCAGAGCGGCACCCCAGTGCCAGGCTGGGAGCCTGCAGGGTTTTGGGGGACAGGTCCTGGGCACGTTGGTGCCCGTGGGGAGGGACAGCCTGCGTGCCCAGGGAGGGTGGGGGTCTCTGGTGCGTGGACGAGCTCACTGTGCACACACACGGTGCAGGCCAGGTGTGGTGAGGGGGCTGCAGGGCCATGGGGGGTGTGTGGGGTGTGTGGGGTGCCAGCGGTGCCCGTGGGCTCCGTGTGCCGCAGGGGCAGCCCCGGTGGGGACAGCGGGCAGGGGGTGCACGGGCACGGGGTGTCCTCTGGGGCTGTGGGTCCTACACGTGAGGAGCAGGAGCTGGCCCCCAGCCCTGACCTCCACTCCACTCCTGGGCTGTTCAATGTGGGTTTTGGCATCGTGCAGCCCAGCAAGAGGAACCCAAACATCCTATCCTAGAGCATCCTGAAACTCTGCCAGGTCAGCCCTGCCAAGGACAATCCCTCATCTCCGTGTGCCCAGGAGGTGCCCAGGGAGCACTCGAGGGTGCAGAGGGGGCAGGGACTGTGCTTGCCCCCAGTTTCAACCCAGCTCTCCCAGATGTGATGGGTTGGGAGGTGACTGGGGGACAATGGAAGCGGTGTCCTGTGGGATGGGACATGGCTCACGTTCCCTGCGGTAGGAGTGGGACAGTTATGGGAGGGCCACCAGGAACACCGGTCTTGCCCTCGGGGATGGGGAGGTGAAGACACAAGCCCAGCCCGGCCCCATCCCACCTCCCCAGCGGCGCGTTCGGGAGCTTACCCTTGCTGCCTTGGACGAGTAGGGATCCTCAAAGAGCGCCCACATCTTGGGCTGCCAGTTCCGGCAGCAGCCGCCCCCTCCAGCAGCCCCTGCTGCCCCTGGGGGCCTGTCATCCATGCCCAGGCGCTGAAGAGCCATCTCCCTACCCCCTTCCTCTTCGGGCTCCTCTCCACCGGCCCCTCCGCCAGGCTCGGGACTCTCAAAGATGTCCAGGGCCTCCTCGGCGTCGCGGTGCTGGCGGTAGGTCATCCAGCAGCAGGGCTCCACGTCGGTCTCGTCGATGCCCCAGTAGGTCAGCTCCTCCTCGAAGAGCGGCCCGCAGATGTCCGCGGGGCAGTGCAGCTTCCCGGTGCGGTAGTAGTTGAGCACGTAGGAGAAGATCCCGGGGTGACGGTCGAAGAAGAACTCGTTGCTTTTCCCATCGAAGTCAAAGTTGCTCTGGGCGTCGGGGTCGGCCAGCCAGGCCAGGCGGGTGCCCGGCAGAGTCCGCAGGGTGCTTTTGTAGGTCTCATGCCGGGTGCCGCCTACGTTGATGGTGATCTTGTCCGACTCTTCCCCTTTGCCCATCTCTTCCTTCAGGCATGTTTTGGAGGGTGGTTTGTTCCCAGACTTGCGTCCACGGTAGGAGGAGACACACACCGAGCTGATCATAGATTTCGGTGGATGGGAGATGCCCACGGCGCGCACCCTTCCTCCGGGCGAGGAGCTGGGGCTCGGCGAAGGCGGGAGAGGAGGACGGAGATGGGACTGGGGAGGGGAAAAGGGGGGCTCAGGCTCGGCTCTGGCCTCGGGGGGAGAAGCTGGAGCCGCGCCGGACACCGCGGGCTGCCGGGGGACAGCAGGGGAGGCTGCAACCTCCACCCCCTCCCAAGCCACCCCCCCAAATAAAACCGCCCTACAGCGGGAGCCGGCCCAACCCCGCCGGGCAGCAACAAGTGCGGGATGGAGGGGGCCAGCAGCGGCCGGGGGTGCGGCAGCCGGGGGGATGCGGGCCCGGCCGGGAGGATGCTGGGGAAGGGACGGGGGGGATGCTGAGCCCGGCCGGGCGCTGTGCCCCCCCTCCCGGTACCTGCAGCGCCGGGCGCGGGGGGGCCCCGCCGCCCGCCCCTCCCGCTCCGGCGGCTCCGCGCTCCCTCCGCCCCCCGGGCCGGGCTCGGGGAGGCGGCGGCGGCCGGGGGGCTCTTCCAGAGAAGGGGGGATGGATGCGCCCTCTCCGCCTCCCCGGGGGTCCCCGTTCACGCGTGGCAGGGCCGGGGTGGGGGGGGGCCTGTTGCGCCCCGGCGGTGCCTCCCCGGGGGTGTCAGCGGCTCGGCGGGGCTTTTATAGGGCTGCGAGCGAGCGGTGGGGTTACGGCAACCGGCGCCGCCCCGCCGGGGGGCCGGGGACCCCCGCCCCAGCGCCCAGCCCCGCAGCCCGCCCGGTGCCCCCCCGGCGCTGCCCTCCCGCTCATCCCCACATCCATCCCTCCCCTCCATCCTCCCATCCCTCCATCCATCCCTTCATCCCCTCCACCCCCCGCCCAACCCTCCGCCTACCCCCGGCTCCCCCGCACCCCCGGCACCGGCTCACCTCCCCGCGGGGCCCGACGTGCCGGTGGGGGTCTCGGGGGGTCGGTGTCAGCGAGGAGTGAACCCCGGACACCCCAGATCCTCTTCGCGCCGGAGGGGAAACGCAGCCCAGCGCTGCCTGCGGATCTGGAGCCGGCTCTTGGCAGAGGCTCCCGCAGATCCCATCCCTCCCTGGCTCGCAATCCCTCGCTCACCGAGAGGTCAGGAGAGACCGACCCCGGGGCCGGTGGGGAGCTGCGAGGCTGCACTCAGAGCTGACCCCCCCTTCCCTCCCACCGCCCTCCCCGAGCATCTCCCCGCCCTGTTCCTGCTCCTGCGTCTGAGATGCCCCTTTCCGCAGCGGCTGCCGGGCTCGGGGTACCACCAACCCCAGCCCCGGGGCCCTTCCCCTAAACCCCCTCCCCGGGGGGCTCCGACCCCCCCGGGAGGCCGGTGATGCTCAGCCCCAGCTGCCGGGGCTGGGCAGGGGTGAAAGCCGCGGTGCCCCAGGGCCGAGGCTGCCACCCGGTGAAGCCCTGAGGCGCTCACCCTGCCAGCGCTGTTTACTTCTGCATGGCACTGCCGGTGCCGCTGCACCGAGGGGCTGGGCGATGCTTTGGGGTCACAGAAGGGATCCAAGCCCAGCTCAGGCCTGGCTTTGGGGTGGGGGCTCATCCAGGAGGGGCAGCACTTGGATAAGGGGTTCTTGGTGCAAGGCGAGGGGACAGGAGTGGGGGATGCCGGCTCAGCACCCCTCTCCGCACCTCCCTGGGCTGTGTGCTGCATTGTCACCCCACCAGGGACCCTCCTCAGCCCCTGCCCAGCTTTGTCCCCTCTGTGATGTGCCCCCAAAATCCGGGGGGCCATGCGGGGTGGCTGAGGAAACTGCTCCACCCTAAAAAAACCCCACGAGGCACGAGAGCCACGCTCGAATCTTACCACCGAGAAAGCCCCAAGGAAGCTCCAGGTGTGACAGCAACTCCCCAGCTCCCAGGGCCGGATCCCGAGCGGGTGGAGGCTGCTGCAGCTCCGCACCCAGAGCACCCCGCGGGAGAGCCTGGATGGAGCCCGAGGGAAAACCGTGCTGGAAAAATCGAGCCTTGCATCACCGGCCAGGCATCGCGGCTCGGCTCCTCGGCGTCGTCATGCCACTTTGGCCAGGAGGGAGGAATGCTGCGACCTGATGCTAATATTTTATCTGCCGACTTTCATCCCGCCAGGAAGAGCTTCGTGCACCCAAGCGCGGCCGTTCCTGGGGTGGGAGGAGGTGGCCAAGCAGACAAATGAGTTGTTTCTGGGGAAGGAAGAGATCTTTTAGCCAGCAACACCCGCCCAAAGCTGTCTGCTCTCTAAATATGCCTTCTGATTTTTAATGTCCGTGGGAAAAAAAAAAAAAAAAAGAAAAAAAAAAGAAAGAAAATAGAGAGAGAGAAGGAGAGAAAATAGAAAGAACTGGATAAATAAGGGCCTTTTTGGAGCAAAGAGTCACTTCTGCAGGGATGTCCTGCAAGGCTCAAGGCATCTCAGATAACATCCAAAGGATGGAATGAAGAGCAGGACCTGGAAGATCTCAAGGAGGATCAGCTCTACCCTGGAAAGCCTTGGGTGGGTTCTGAGGACGTGGTAAGGGGTCTCTGGGTCACCGCCAGCCTTGGCCTCTCCCCCTGAGCCAACACAGCAGCCTGAGCCTGGCCCAAGGCCCAACACATCAGGCACATCCCCAGAGGTGGGGAAGAGCAGCAGACAGAGCACAGGGTGCTCAGGGGATGAGAGGCCCCACAGGGGGCTGGGGACACACTGGGACCCTCAAGGTCTCTGTCCATGGAAGGACAGAGGAGGAGGGTGGACTGCAGCAGTTTAGGGAGAGACAAACCTCTTTTGGTGTAGAAATAGCCAAACCAACTTCTCCAGGTCCTTCCAGGCCAGAATCTCGTTAATGGAAGATTTGTTGTCCTCAGGAACCCCCGGATGCTCCAAACAAGGTCTCTGCCCTCTGGTTTTTGGTAGGACTGTGTGTGGTGGCACCCACAGCCCTCCCCTCCCCAGGGTGTGATCCCCAAAAAACCTTTCTCGACCCTCTGCTGGAGCTGGGTCTCCCCAAAAAACCTGTCAGGAGCCGTGGGCTCTGCTCCTGCCTCTGCCAGGTGACTTTTGCAGCTACAATTCCTCCCTCCAGCAGCGCAGGGTTTGTACCCCATCCCTCCGGGAGCCCAGGCTGGAGGGGAGCTGGTTCCCGGGTGGGGAGCGGCGTGTCCCCTGCTCTGTCACGCAGTGCCACCTTGTGTCCTGCTGCTCGTGTCCTGCTGCAGCGGAGCCCGGCCGGCATCGGGCTCCATCCCCGGCATTGCTGGCGAGATTTCACTCCATAAAAGCAGCCCGGGAGCGGGAGGGGGCTGGGGATGGTCTGGCTTTGGGAGCAGCCAGAGCGGTTCCTGCGGTGGGGCTGTGCCTCAGTTTCCCTGCCCGAGAGCCTCAGGGTGTCCTTGTCCTCGCCGAGGCGCTCAGGGAATCTCAGCAGACGCTGCTGTAGCAGCTCCACCTCGTGTCCAGAGCCTGGTCCAGAGCTGTTTTGAGATGGGACACCCCAAATCCACCCCCACATCTGACAGCAGCATCCTGCAGGCTCTGAAACCTCCCTCCCTCACTGTCACAGGAAGTTCTATTGATTGAGTTTTTAAATAGAATGTATTTGGCTTAAAATTCCACATCCGGGCCCATTTCTGCATCGTTTTTTTCCAGGTCCCAAGGGCCAGAATTGCCTTTTCCAGTTTGTTTTTCTCACCTATTTTCAGGAAGCCCCTGGCACTGGGATTTCTGGCCCCTGCAGACCCTCTCTCAGCCCCTGGGAGCACAGGAGGGGCTGAGTCCGGCTGGTTCAGCACAGCAGTGACACCCCACGTGTGTCCCACCCTGGCATTGCCCAGCTGGGATCTCCAGTCCTGCTCCCCCAGAGCTGGGCTGTGCTGGGGTCACAGCAGCCCCACGTGTCCCACTGTCCTGGTCACCACAGGATAACCTGTGCCACCTCCTGTCCCCTCCCTGGGCAGTGCTGCTCCTCCAGCCGTGTCAGACACTTGCCCCAGTCACAGAAATCACAGAAATCACAGAAATCACAGAAATCACAGAAATCACAGAATTCACAGAATCACCAGGTTGGAAGAGACCTTCAAGATCATCGAGTCCAACCCAGCCCCAACAGCTCAACTCACCCTGGCACCCAGTGCCACATCCAGGCTTTGTTAAACACACCCAGGGATGGTGACTCCATCACCTCCCCTGGGCAGCCATTCCAGAACTTTATCACTCTTTCTGTGAAAACCTTTTTCCTAATATCCAACCCGAATTTCCCTTGGCACAGCTTGAGGCTGTGCTCTGGTTCTGTCAGTGCTGCACCAACATCTCCAGATGGTGCCCCAAAGACCTTCCCAGCTTCCCCTCAGCTGCCCCTGTGTGGGGACAGGCTCAGCTCCTGGCCGTGGCAGTGTCCCCATGCCATCCCCGGGGTGGGGGTCCCCTCTGGATCCCTCTCTCCTGATCCCTTCCCTCCTTCCTCATGCTCCCTGAAGCAGCCCTGGAGAAGCCAAACAAGCCACCAGAGATGGGGGGGAAGGAGGAGGCAGCTCTGCTCCTCTGCTTATCTAAACTAATTCCCAGCAGCTGAAGTCACCTGGGATTGCTGGAAACCCCAGGTCCTTCTCCAGACCCCCAGACTCGGGATCAGCCAGCAGCCCTGTCAGCAGGGCACGGTGCAGAGAGCTGCAGCGTCCCAGTCCCCATGCCCTGGAGAGCCAAGGTGCACTGGTCAAACTGGCCCAGGAGGAAAAGAACCTCCTGAAGCCCCCACAAACAGCTCACTCTGAGCAAGGCCCGTGCAGGGCTGATGCTGGCTGGAGGAAGGGGTGAGGGGAGAAGGACAGACAGGGAAGGACAGACCTCGACACCCGTGGGCCCTTTGCTTTGTGTCTCTGCCACCCTAAACCGCCGAGAGACCCCAAAGCCCAGCCAAGAAAGGAAACAGAGGCACAGAAGAGACTCGGTGAGGAGAGATTTGGTAAGAAGAGACTTTTAATCAGACTCTGATACAGCTCTTAGAGGGTTTCTCTCGATGGCCGAGGAGCCGGGCGGCGCTGCCCGGCCCTGCCCGGCACACGTGGGAACTGCTGCGGCTACCGGGGACACGGGACGTGCCACCACGAGGTCTGTGCTTTACCTGTGCAGGAGGGTTTCGCCAGCGTTGTGCTTGTCCCAGGGAAGCAGCCACATCCTGCGTGTCCCCGTGGCTGTGCCATGTCCCTCCTGGCCACCGAGGCCACCGGCCCCGCTCCTGCCAGCGAGACCCGCGCTCGGGAAGGGTGGGGGCCGTTCAAGGCAGTGGGAGCTGCTTCTGGGAGGTGCTGGGGCTGAGCATGACCTGTCAGGGTCTGGGCAGGAGCTGAGAGGTGAGGAAGGGGCGGTTTTGGAGGGATTGAGGGGAAGGAGCCATGGGACACCCTGAGGACCCGGCTCTGGTCATGACCTCTGCCTTGCACCGGGGTCAGGGTCCCTGCAGCAGAGGCCGGTGCTGGGGAACAGAGCACCCCAACTCCAGCCCTGCAGGCTGGACCTGCAGCTCCAGGACCACAGGCTCTGCCCCTCCAGCAACCCCTTTGTGCCCTCTCCAGACCCACTGAACACCCTCCCCGCAGAGGGGGAACAGGGTTTGGAGCCCTCCTGACCTACCCAGCACCTCCTTGTCCCTCGGCCAGGGACACCGCACTGCTCTGAGCAGCAGGATCTGGGCTGGGAGCCCACCAAGGAGCTGATGTGGGGGGACAGGGATATCGGCAGCGGTTCCCCCCTCTGTGTCCCACTGCCTGAAGGAAAACTGAAAAGTGCCTGTGCTCACAACTAGCAGCTATTCCCTGTGCCTCTGTGCAGAAGAAGAGGAAAAGAAGTGATTTCTAGGGCTAAAAACCAGTGGGGGCCGGCCTGATCCGCAGCCTGGGACCCCGAGAAGGTGTGTGGAGGGAGAACCTGCCCCGGCGAGCGGGAGAAACCCCCACAAGGGCTCCAAAAGTGAGCGAGTACAGGCAGAAGTGAATCCTAAAGCCACCCACGCACACGGACACGCGCACACCCCACGCACGGCATCTACGGACGAACACGCGCACGCTCCCACGGCGACAACACGGATCTCCTAAACCTAACACACACACACACTGCCCCCCAAACCCCGTGTCTAACACCGAGCAAATGCCACGACAAAACACAAGTATTTCCACGGATAAAAGTAAAGGTGTC